GTTGGATCATTATAATTATTGTTGTTTTTTTGTTGTTGTTGTTTTTATTTGGTTTTTTTGTTGTTGTTGTTTTTTGGGGTGGGGGGTTGTTGTTTCTTGTTGTTTTTTTTAGACGAAAAAGAAGTGTATTATCTATAAACACACGTCGGTGAAACGGAAAACTTCCTTAGAGTTAGTAGAGTCAGCCTCCAACCGCCCGCTGGCTGTAAGTTTGACAGGTGTGAGAGATGAAGGATAAAGGAGTATCATGTAGCCAGAACAAAGAGGCGTGGTGAAGGAGCCCTGTGTCACAGCTGTCAGAATGAGAGGCCAGGCACGGCTCTGGTTATGAAACGTCCAACTGTGGACGGTGTGTGTGTGTGTGTATGTGTGTGTGTATGTGTGTGTGTGTGTGTGTGTGTGTGTGTGTGTGTGTGTGTGTGTGTGCGTGTGTGTGTGTTTTATAAGATAACACATATTTGGTTGTAATACTACCACTGATTGAGAACGGAAGAGATGTACTTATTCCGAAAATACTTGGTAAGGCTTTATTTGAAAAAAAAGAAAATCAAATGCTAAGATTTCAACAATGAAAATCAATACATTGGTTTGTATTTCGGAATGAGTTGATAGTGTGTCTAGAAAAATGGCTATCTCATGACTTTCTTTTAAAGAGTATTTTTAAGTGGCTAGGGTTGAATACGGTTTACCCATGACATAAAAGTTTTAAAAAATCATATTCTTACTAGATATTAGGAGAAGAAATTACTGTGGAATCCGCTTAAACCAAAATCTACGGGACTGTCGGTTTTCTTGGCTTTAACCGTGTTTCCAGTTTAGATAAATTGCTCAAATAACGAAAAAAAACCCAACAAATCTGAGATTCTATTTTTTTGTCAGTGTACCTCTGTTTTCAGATTAATTGTGTTCGATTTAAGAGAAATCTACTTCATGTACATTACATTCCACAATATTCAGCTAGGCCTTAGCTATGTGCGTATTTGTTGTTTTATTTTCGGTACAGTGTGTTTTAGTATCGACCTGGAGCTTTTTAGTCTTGAACACTTTTTTAAAAGTCTCGAGTCTATAATTTTTTACCATACATTACTTTGTATTTTTTCATAACTGACTGTGATGTAATGCTTGTACTTGTATCTTTTTATTGTAAACTGAACATTTAGGAGCCATGTATGTATCTTCCTGGTTAGAATCTAGATCTTTTTTACGGGATAGAAATGCGTAAGTGAAAGCATTTCTGTTAGTGATTGTTTAGTTTATTCTTTAATATGGCTATGAAATTTGAGATTGATCAAAATAAAAGAAATGCTGTCAAAACGAACCTGAGTTGCTTATGGTAATTGTTGAGAACTGTAGTCTACCTTTTGGTGTGTAGAAATATCCGTGTTGATGTCTGCTGTTTGTTTCAGAACCTCAACCTGTCTCTGTGTCTGTTTGTTTGCTTTTGCTTCTACCGAAGTTATGCCGTGGGTGGTTGGTGGGTGCTCTGGTGTGGTTTGCTTCTTCGTTAGCTATGACACATCTATCGTCCTTATCTCCCCTTCTTATTTTTTTATGTTTGTTCCTCCTTGTAACACCTCTAATCTTCTGGCGCTCATATGACCTTATGCAGTTGCAAGCGCCGTAAAACGTCTACTAAAACTAAAAAAGAAGTTACGTCGTTATTATTTATATTGTTTATACTGTGTTTTATGTTATTTACAATTTGAGTCTTTAAATTGAAAAAAAACCCATGTTGAATTGAAATAGTTAAATTGTTTATGTTGGAATACAGTGAAGTTTATTGTTTGGTACTGTCGTCTGAAAATTAGTATGAAGCAAATAATATCAAAATACTCAAAACAATCAAGTCCTCCTGACTGAATCTTGTTATGTGTTATGATATAATTATAAAATATACATGTGTTATCATATTCACCTATAACATGACCATGTGTATAATATGGGGGTGTGCTTCGATCTTTGACTTTATGGGTTGGAACTTATATAAATAAACGTTTGCAGGAGGTGAAACATCTTCAATTTCTATAGCAAAATATTGCACATGAACCTCAAACTCAAACCTCTGGGCCCCTTGTGAGACATCCTCTTTGTTATATCTTCCTCTTCTCCTTCATTCTCTCTCTCCTTTTTATTTTTGATTCATGTGCCGAAAAACTAGAGGTCGTCGATCCCACTTTGTGGGAGCCTCGTTGACGTGAGGTGTGACCCCGTGCGGAGGGAAACCGGGTAGCTGGCGGTTGAGGTGAGATCAGTCTGCGGACTGTTCCTCGTCAACACACCTTTTTTGGCCCTGGTTTTCTTCTTCTTAGACAGGAGCGTGGCATGGCACGGCCCGTGCCACTCAATCGGTTGGGAGCTGAAACCCCCTCGGTCCCTGGGTTAGTCTTGACTGGAGGGTCTAGTACACTCTCGTGGAGGGTATAACTCCAGGTTTTGCCTTGGCATAGGTCAGTCAACCGAGAAATATGACTCCTTGTTAGGTTTGGTGGCGGATTGAGAGAGAGAGAGAGAGAGAGAGAGAGAGAGAGAGAGAGAGAGAGAGAGAGAGAGAAAGAGAGTTTTATAGAAGAGCTACAACGCCTTCGCACTGCCTGTCACTTTGTTCATAACACACACACAATAACCAGACATCTCCTACAATGAGTAAGGATTCGTTTATAAAATAAAGTGTTGCCGAGGTGGTCTGGTCTGCCTATCGGCCAGTTGACAACATATTAGGGGTCCTGCACACACACACTTACACACACAAATTCAAATACACAAGCTACTCCGTTGAATTTAATATATGTTCTTTATTTTGATACATTTCAGCTTTCACCGTCTGGTTAATAAAAATAACATGGGCAAGGCGACCGTGTCAAATAATACGAAGTAAGTTCCCCTTCTTCTGATATCTCACAAGGACATGGGCATTACTTTTTCTACTTTTACATCATGGACAAGCAGTTTTGGACCGTAACCACTTATAATTATAATTTTTTACTAATGTAATTATAATATAATTAAATTAGTAAGAAATTCTTTATTTGACCAGTTTTAAACACATTGCCTTAACGCACGCAGAAAATGTATAGACACGTATAGGTCTACTTGTACAATACAATTACAATAAATGTTCTATAGAGCATTTCACTGTTTTACTGTGGGTGGTTGGCAGGTGTTCTGGTGTGGTTTGCTTCTTCTTTCCTTTCAAACATCTATCATCTTCATCTCCCCTCCTTCTTTTTCGTGTTTGTTACTCTCTTGTAACACCTCTAATCTTCGGCACTTATATGATCATATTGTGTTGCAAGTGCCGTAAAACACTTACTAAAACGAAACTGTTCTACTACATGTATTCAAGATTGCCCCTTTTTTCTTCATTTTTTACTTCACTTTAAAACTGCTTCATTCTCCTTCTGTACAACCTTTCTGGTTGTGTATGAGATTTTCCTTTGCTTTGTGCCTGCTGCCATAGTTTATCAAAGAAAGGATGCTGCAGTACTGGTAGGTACTTGGAGAAAAGTGCCCTGGAGATCTCAACAGGATTGCCTGAAAAAAAAAAAAACATTACAAAAAACGCTATGTACGTGGAGTAAATCATCACAGCTTTCAAACTTGGAAGGTTTTAAAAGTTCATCATCGTACAATGACCCCATCCAACGCGTTTCTTTGAAGTAGGCCTATTTGTACAGGTATAGTGATGATGATGATGATGATGATGATAATAATGACAATGATGATAATAATGACAATAATACTA